TGAGTTCACCCCCCCCCCCCTTTCCCACCCTCTCCCGCGGGTGGTAATGTGAGAACGCCTCCTTCCTCCTCCTCCCATAGACAACCGTTCTTTTTTTGTCTGCCCCTGTCTCTCACCAGGTTCGCGGGAGCAGACGAGACCTACACGATCGAAGCCCTGATGCAGAACGGCTGGGCGTTGCAGAGCGGGACGAGCCACTTCCTCGGCCAGAACTTCGCGAGAGCCTTCGAGGTCTACTACCAGACCCCCGACGAGAGTGCGTACCCGTAGCTTATTGCGTAATATAATACCCCCCCTGGACCGAAGTGTTATTGCGTAGTATAACACCCCCCTGGACCGATGTCTGGGTGGCACAGTAAACGCAAGGATGGTGGCCAGCTTCTGGTTCATGCTTGTGAAGCGTAGCCTGGCCGACATTGCAGAGATGCGAGGTCAATGGTCTAACGACTACGGCAGCATGCACATTAGTACACCCCCTGAACCTACGTATTTTCAAAGCAACGAGTACTAGGCAAGTAAACAGTAACGGTGTGCCGGAAATGGCGGCGTTAGATTGCTGTCTCTTCCGAGAGCTTTCGGAGAATCTATCGTTTGATTTCGGCATCCTCTTCGTCGTGGAAAGTAGAGGTTTGCAATTCGGTCCAGGGGGTTTGGTAGCTTCAGCAACCTACGACAGACACTGTGCTTGCGAGAGAATGGACAACATGCACTCTCCTCTGGGGCTCATTTGTACTTGTATTTTGGGGTTTCCATAGTTGCGGCAAAGGCAGGCGAGCAATGCAGGTGGAGCTGAGCGCATGAGTGGTATGCCGGTGAAAGTTCCTCCCTGAGGTCTTTGTTGATCGAATCAAAATTGCTGCGTTGTTTTTGCCTGTGAGCGTGATCCGTCTCTAAAATAGTTCCGCAAGAGCGGGAGAGGTTGCGTGATGTGGTGGTGTGTGGGCGAACTGATTTGGGGATTGGCTCTGTATCTCTCCTGGTTGTTTTCTCTTGTCTTTTATCATCTTGTGTGCATGCGTAAGTTGGCCGCTTCATGCCGCTCATGTGTTTCACTACACTCTCGTGATGAATGTTGATCGTTCCCATAACTATTCACGTACCATATTGTGTTTTACGTACTTTTTGCAGCGTTCATCTAAACCTTTGTTTGTGTTTGGATCGTTTTCCTTGTCTCTTCTCGCAGAGCGAGAGCTGGTTTGGGCGACTTCTTGGGGAGTGACGACACGTTTGATGGGTGCGATGGTGATGACGCACTCCGATGACTTCGGCCTCAGGCTGCCTCCTGCCGTCGCGCCGAAGCAGGTGCGTGAGAGAGAGAGAGGGGGGTGGGAGAGAGAGCGAGAGAGAGACAGAGACAGAGACAGGGACAAAACGACACACACAGAGAGAGACAAACATCAAGACAGGGGAAGAGAGAGAGAGAGACAGACAGACAGACAGACAGACAGCGAGAGAGACAGAGAGAGACAGAGAGAGAGCCTGCCCCCATCCCTCCTGCCGTTGATGTTGTTCTCGTCTCTGCGAAGGCAGCGGCACCCTCGTACACACATTACCCCAGCCTCACATCCCCGACGGATGATGACCTGTAGAAGAAGCGCGACTTGAAGGTATTCGGTAGGAATACTGTAGCACCAGCACCAGCAGCGGGGCTCCAACCACCAATACGGAAGGAGAAAGTTGTATGAATACTGCAGCAGCGGCAGCAGCAGCAGCAGCAGTGGCACTCTACTCCAACCCTTGTCGGCGGCCTGCGTGTGTGCCTCCGCAGGTGGTGATCGTCCCCATCACCAAGGGTCCCGGCGAGGACACCGACCTCGTCAACAAGGCAGTGGACGGCGTCGTCGATCAGCTCAAGGCCGCCGGCGTTCGTGTCAAGGTATGCAACGAAAGAGAACAAGGGAACACACGCGTATGCGTCGGACGGTATCTGTGTTTTATCCGGAGAGTAGAGTAGCATAGACTCCCCCATGACACCCCTTCACGGAGTCCCAGATTATGACCCTCAGAAGCATTTTTTGTTTTCATCCGCACTGAGACTGGCGTCCTTTCATCGGTGAGCCGGTTGGCGGCCGATGCCGATAATAAACACATACACACATCCCGACGAGATCGGGGGCTGTGGGCTGGATGCTGCATGCCACTGGCTGCGATGGATTTCTCTGCCAAAATCATCTCTCCTGACTGGCAAACCACACAAGTCTTGTCAACCCTGCCTTCCTACGCCCCCCCCCCTAGCCCAGCCCCCCCCGGTGTTTGCCATCGGGGTTGGGTTTTCGTCGCTTGGCAACGACGTTGTAAAACAAGCCGCCCCCAACCAGCTGAACATAGATGGAAGTGGGGGATCGAGGAGATTGCAGTAGTGGACCAGTACACATACCTCGGAGTAGAGATCGCAAAAGACTGCTCGTGGAATGCACACATGTCCAAGGTAGCGGAAAAGGGCAAATCACGAGCAGGGAAGCTGCATCCAATACTCGCAAACCGGCACCTCGATACACGCATCAAATTGACGGTTTTGAAGAGCGTAATCGTACCGCCGCTAGAGTACGCCGGAGAAGTATGGGAAGGAAATAAGAAGGTATGAAAGAACTCGAGGCGGTGCCGATGAAAGCAGCGAGAATCATCGTAGGATGCTCCAAGCGCACAAGTAATGCAGCCGTGAGGGCAGAATTGGGGATCCAATCCCTACGGTCGGGAAGAGACGCGAGGAAGCTGACCTGGCAGTATCGCATGTGCGGGATGGGAGAGGAGAGGTTGCCGAGAATTGTATGGGAGGCGAAGTGGGCAAACAAAAAGAGGGGTAGACAACCCACGGAATGGGTCAAGGTTGTAGAGGACGTATGGAAGGGGCTCGACATCGACGAAGATGAAACGCTGGAAACGGAGGGTCTACAGGGGTTCAAGGAGAAGATATCTGTTGCTTGTGCCGAGAGAGAAGAAAAGAATGTAAGGAAAGAAACCAAGGATAAGGAGGGTCTTGAAGCGTACGGAATGTTGAAGGAAGGAATAGGGTTCAAGGACTACCTACATGGACCAATGGATGCAGGAACAAAGCTTAAGGTCAAATTCAGGACCGGGGACATAGGCCTTCGAGAACGTCGACGAAGACATAGGACGGTAGACGAGGAAGACGACGAGTTCAAATGTGATTGCGGCTTCGAATGCGAAGACCGTGTTCATGTAGTCGCGGAATGTCCGTTGCACAAGAAGGAGAGGGAAGTGTGCGTGACTGAGCTGGGAAAAATAGGT